GATGGCTATGACCAAGAACTATAACTTTAGAAAGCAGTTTGCCATTCTTTAGATATGTTGGCTGCATTTTGTTTTCCAGACTAAGAACCCTTCTTGTACCCAGCGAAGCAACTGGCCTCAGGTGATACACAGAGATAAGACAAATCCCACTACTTAAGTTGTATCTGTTTATCTACATCTTTCTCCTACATCCATTCAAAGTGTAGAATTTACACAGCATCTCTCAGCTTTGAAAAGCAGGGGGCGGAGAGCTAAAGGTACATAATTGCACAAGAGATCTGAGAGCTGATTGGAAGGAAGGGACACACCTCCCTTCACACAGCACACAGGAACAGAGCTGAAGATCTCAACCACAGGCAGTTCCCTCCACTGTCGCCCTTTTTTTTTTTTTTTTTTTTTTTTTTTATTATTTTTGGTGTCAGGAAAACTTGTCAGAAGTGATTCATGCTGATAGCAGATGAATGAGACAGCTAGCAAAAATGACACTTAGTGCTCTGGATTGAGACAAGTACACGCTATAGAGCTATATGCTTTGTTCATATTTCATGTCTGAGGTTTACAACCGCTTTAACCCCTTCACACCTAAGGGAGAAACAAATCTTAATGCATAATAAGTATAAATCCGCACACACACACATATATATATATATATATATATACAGTTGTGACCAAAATTATTCAACCCCCACTGAAATTGAGTGTTTTGGCCAGTTTGACATTGCTTTTGATCATTCAGTCATCTTGCTTACATTTACATTAAAGAGGCACTTGTAGGTCAGACAAATATAACATAACAGTTATAATGAAATAACCACAAATGTCTTTTCTGTGCTCACAGCATTATCAGTTTTATTCAACCCCCAAGTGACATTCAATCTTAGTACTTAGTACAGCATCCTTTTACAGTTATAACAGCTTTTAAACGTGAAGCATAGCTTGACACAAGTGTCTTGCAGCGATCTACGGGTATCTTCGCCCATTCTTCATGGGCAAAGGCCTCCAGTTCAGTCACATTCTTAGGCTTGCGCACTGCAACTGCTTTCTTTAAGTCCCACCAGAGGTTCTCAATCGGATTTAAGTCTGGTGACTGCGATGGCCACTCCAAAATGTTCCAGCCTTTCCTCTGCAACCATGCTCTAGTGGACTTGGAGGTATGCTTGGGATCATTGTCCTGTTGAAAGGTCCAACGTCTCCCAAGCCTCAGGTGTGTGACGGACTGCATCACGTTTCCATCCAATATCTCCTGGTACTGAAGAGAATTCATGGTACCTTGCACACGCTGAAGCTTCCCTGTACCTGCAGAAGCAAAACAGCCCCAAAGCATGATTGACCCTCCACCATGCTTCACAGTAGGCAAGGTGTTCTTTTCATCATAGGCCTTGTTCTTCCTCCTCCAAACATAGCGTTGATCCATGGGCCCAAACAGTTCTAATTTTGTTTCATCAGTCCACAGAACACTATCCCACAACTTTTGTGGTTTGTCCACATGGCTTTTGGCATACTGCAGTCGACTCTTCTTATTCTTTGGAGACAGCAAGGGGGTACGCCTGGGAGTTCTGGCACGGAGGCCTTCATTACGCAGTGTGCGTCTTATTGTCTGGGCTGAAACTTCTGTACCCACATCTGACAAATCTTTTCTCAGTTCCTCAGCAGTCACACGGGGACTTCTCTCCACTCTACGCTTCAGGTAGCGCACAGCAGTCGAAGTCAGCATCTTCTTTCTGCCACGACCAGGTAGCGTTTCAACAGTGCCCTTTGCCTTGAATTTGCGAATGATGCTTCCTAAGGTGTCTCTTGGTATGTTTAACATCTTTGCAATCTTCTTATAGCCATTGCCCTTCCTGTGAAGAGAAATCACCTCTTCTCTTGTCTTCCTGGACCATTCTCTTGCCTTCACCATGTTTGTAACCACACCAGTAAATGTCTAGAAGGAGCTGAGTATCACAGTCATTTTAAAGCTGCCTAATTGGTGCTTATTATGCTTGATTGCTGCTCGGTGACATCCACAGGTGTTTTCAATACCTGATGGAAAGCACCTGTATGAACCTCTGTTCTTCAGAGTGGTAGTCTTTAAGGGGTTGAATAATTGTGGCAATGAAGAAACCACATAAGAACCATTTACTACTGTATTACATAAACAATTGATGTCATTTTAGTTGCATTTGGGTAGTTACAACGTCCTTGTAGGATTTGATTCTGAATACAATTCCAAATGTACACTATAGTCCCTAAACCCCTTTACAGCATTGGGGGTTGAATAATTTTGGTCACAACTGTATATATATATATATATATATATATATATATATATATATATATATATATATATATATATATATATATATATATATATAAAATCCTCAGAAATCCCTTAAAGTCATATCAATATCCTTCCCCTGAAGTACTAATAAAACATATATTCATTGACTTAAACCCAAAAACCCACAATTATAGTGAAAAAATCAAGACCCAAAGAGATTACCCAAAAATAAAAAATATCAAATATATATAAAAGAACAAAAATAAAATAAAGTCCCAATATGCAAAGTGTCCAAATAATGTGTCCAAACAAAGATCAATTTCTTGATAGGAAGACGCTTCCTACTCCACTGAAGAAGATGCAAATCAATCACAGGTGCTCTTCAAATACCTCAAAAAACAAAATCTCAACATAGTATATTACCTTTTAAATCCCAGAACTAAAGTGCCACACGTGTATCTTAATGCATAACCACAATTTTGCAATGTTGGCATGTGTTTGTAAAACCGTACATATCATCACAACTACTTTGTACATTGAGGTGAATTATACTTTGTTTTTTTTCAGGACAAATTGGGCTTTAGTTTGGTGGTAAATGGTAATTGATATCTCCTGATTTTTTTATTATCAAAAAAAAACTGGCCCAAAATAGTAAAAAAAAAAAAATTTAATTTAGCTGTGTGTTTCTTGTTACTACCATAACCTACCACCAAAGAACAACTCAAAATAAATTTTCCAGCTCTTGACTATCGCAGCGATACCATATATGTGTATGTTGTTTGTACGCAGAGTACAGCCCAGAAACAATAGTGCACTTTTTGTTTACCTAAAACACACTGCACTAATACCAATTAAAAAAAAAACAACACACAAATCCTGACCTTTGATTCTGACCCAAACACTTACACTGGCACTACTAGATCAAACCTTCATCTAGGTATTTTTTATTTTATTTTTTTAATATTTATTTATCTTTTTTTTTTTTAACAAACTTTTTTTTCCCTCTATGCAAGGAGCTAGAGAGATGCAGTGTATCTCTCTCCTCCATTCATAGAAAGAAAAAAAAAACACAAGGGGGCCAGGCTGTACAGTGACTGATCACTGGGATAGCCAATTAGAGGCTATCACAGCAATCATGTGACCCAGAATCGGGAGTACTGGGTCCCGATCATTAGAATGGGACTTGGGGCTCTCAGTGACACCGCAGTGTTTGTGCTGGGAGCGCGCTGTGCGGCGCACTCCCAGCAGAAAGACAGGTACACAAATATGCGTCCCCATGGAAAAAAAGCCCAGTTCTGTGAGGCCGCAAATTTGTGTTACATCGGTGTCAAGGGGTTCAGCAAGCACAGAAAATGCCTGTGGTTCTTGCCAGAAATGGTGTCCTTGTCACTTCTATTCACTTAACTGAAAGAATAAACTATCCAATGTTCCTAATGTTAATTGTCCCATCCCCATGTAATGGATATGAAGAGGTGAAAGCATGTTTAAAGCCTGGGCGACAATCGTGGCTCCTCCTATAGAGTAGCGATTAGTGTAGACACCCTAGGAAGGGAGTGTATTCATTCCTGCTGAACCAGCTGAGGTTTGATCCTTCTATGGCTGGATTTAGTTGTGTTTCTACTTGTACAGTTCTTTTTGTAGTTGTCTTTATTTAGGAAAACCATTCTTAAGTCTAGTACACATGGGCCAAATATCAGGTGATATTGGCCTGTTCAATAGAAAACGGCTGACATTTGGCCCATCTGTAGGGCAGATTGGCCAGCTTCTGTCAAAGGGCATGACTGAAAAAGGTTGACCGATTGGCTCCCGATTTAGCGCTCTCAGCCAATGGCTGGGTGGAAGGAAAGAAAATCGCTCGATTCTTCCATCTACATAGTAAGTGATAGGGAAATCCCTTCTGAAGCGCTCTTGTGTTCTGCCAGCAGGAGGGAGCCTTCCTGGGTGCTAGTAGCTATACCAGGAAGTAATTGCATGTAGAAAAATCCGATAGGCTTGGTTGTACCTAAGGCAATCAATGGATCGATTTGGGTACAGTCAGCCAACCCATACATGGATCAGATCTCGGCCGGTTCAGCAAGGACCGACCAAGATCCGATTCATGTATGAGGCTTTAGCATTCATAATGTAATTGTAGCTTTTTCTCTTGTGTTTGTGTAATGTGTGCATTTATTCAGTATGATGTAATGGTAGGTTATCACTGGCACATTATAAACATAAGAGAGATTAACTGTTACTCTGCTGCAGGAAAAAAGATATAGATTATTTTTTTTTACATACTTTTAGGCTCCATTCATGTTAGGCGATTCTAAATCCCGACAGACCCAAACACAGTGGGATTTTTCCTGTGATTGTCGGGTGGTCATCGCTGCGAAACACGCATTTAAAAATTGCGAGAAGTTTCTCGTCCAGGAGCTTTTTTTTTTTTTTTTTTGGATGACAAATGCTAATAGGGTAGGTTGTTTTAGGGGGGGTGATCAGCAATGGCAGCATCCTTGTATATCTCGGCACAGGTTTCTTGTAAATGTTATATCTATATTCATTAGGTCCATGGTGATAATTTTGTCAGTATGTTGCTTTCTGTATCTGGATTTGAGCACAGTGTTCGTATTTGAGTACACATTTCTCAAGGTTTCTGGGAGGGAAAATGTCAGCAAAAAGGTCTGCCTCAAACTTACATATTTGAAGTCTGAAAGCTTGACTATGATTAAGTGCTAATATAGACAAGTATACATAATATGACATGACACCTTTGATGTCTGAAAATATGCTTGACATAAGCTTTCAGTAAATGCTGTATTTATGCGTCTTTACATTTTGTTTATTTCACCCTCCTATTACAGAAATTCATGCCACAGGTTTCAATTACCAGAATGAAGATGAGAAGGTGACCTTGTCTTTTCCAAGCCCCCTACAAAAGGGTAAGTGGAAACTGTGCACTACAAATTGTTTATTTTCTTTCCAGAATGCATTTTTTTTGATAAGTAGGTATAATTTTTTAGGTATAGCTTAACACTTTTGATGCCATGGGTGTAAGGCTTATGTCAGAGCAGAAATGATACCAGCTGGCCTGCTCAGTAAGGCAGGCCATACACTGAGCAAATTTCTTTCCTGTAACCGCATATTGCAGGAAAGAAATTCACTCTATTCCCCCATCAAAACAGACAGTGTTGACAGGGGAATTCCTGTTGCTGAGCCGTTCTATTCCCGTTGGGAGAAGACGGTTACATACCAGCTGCTAGCAGTAATCGTATGTAAAACCTGGCAGGCTGGTTGTACCCAAGTTGATCGATCAGTCAACTTGAGTACATTCAGCCTGCCCATGCATGATTCGAATCTTAGCCGGTTCCTGCGGAACCAGTCGAGATTTGAACCATCTGTGGCTGGCATTAGTCTTGCATCCTTGCCATTCCCTTCTGTTATAAGTTCAGTGTTGTTTCTGAGACCTTGAACGTATGATAAAAGGGTCTCCCTGATTCTGCTGATTTAAATGAGTAGCCATGATCAGGGTCTGAGCTAGTAAACATACAGTTAGGACCATATATATTTGGACACAGGCACAATTTTAGTTTTTTTCTCAGGTGTTTACCAAAACATATTCAAGCTATAGTTATATAATGGATATGGGCTGAAAGTGCACACTCCCAGGTTTAATTTGAGGGTATGTACAAATTGGAGGAAGGGTTTAGGAATTACAGCTCTTAAGAGTAGCCATCCCCCCTTTTTTTCAAGGGACCAAAAGTAATTGGACAATTGAATCAAAAGCTGTTTCATGGCCAGGTGTGTGGGTACTTCTTCGTTATTTCATCATCAATTAAGCAGGTAAAAGGTCTGGAGTTGATTCTAAGTGTGGTATTTGCATTTGTAATCTATTGCTGTAAATCTACATCATGCGTTCAAAGGAGCTGTCCATGCAAGTGAAACAGACCATTGTAAGGCTTCAAAAACTAAACAAATCCATCAGAGAGATAGCAGCAACATTAGGAGTGGCCAAATCAACAGTTTGGACATCCGCAGAAGACAACAGTGGTGGATGATCGCATGATCCTCTCTATGGTAAAGCAAAACCCATTCACAACATCCAGACAAGTGAAGGACACTCTCCAGGAGGTGGGCGCATCATTTTCAGATTCTACAGTCAAGAGAAGACTTCACGAGAGCAAATACAGAGGGTTCACCACAAGGTGCAATCCATTCATAAGCCTAAAGAATAGAAAAGCCAGATTAGACTTTGCCAAAAAACATCTACAAAAGCCAGACCAGTTCTGGAAAAGCATTCTTTGGACAGATGAAACTTCTGAGGAAAGAAGAATGCACTGGTGAGCTCAGCAACATAAAAAGGCATAGACGTCCACAGAAGAAAACAGTTGTGGATGATCGCAGGATCCCCTCTATGGTAAAGAAAAACCCATTCACAACATCCAGACAAGTGAAGTATTTAGTCAGCCACCAATTGTGCAAGTTCTCCCACTTAAAAAGATGAGAGAGGCCTGTAATTGGCATCAAAGGTAGACCTCAACTATGAGAGACAAAATGAGAAAAAAAAAATCCAGACAATCACATTGGCTGATTTGGAAAGAATTTATTTGCAAATTATGGTGGAAAATAAATATTTGGTCACCTACAAACGAGCAAGAGTTCTGGCTCTCACAGACCTGTACCTTCTTCTTTAAGAGGCTCCTCTGTCCTGCACTCATTAACCTGTATCAATGGCATCTGTTTGAACTTGTTATCAGTATAAAAGACACCTGTCCACAACCTCAACCAGTCACACTCCAAACTCCACTATGGTGAAGACCAAAGAGCTGTCGAAGGACACCAGAAATAAAATTGTAGACCTGCACCAGGCTGGGAAGACTGAATCTGCAATAGGCAAGCAGCTTGGTGTGAATAAATCAACTGTGGGAGCAATAATTAGAAAATGGAAGACATGCAAAACCACTGATAATCTCCCTCGATCTGGGGCTCCATGCAAGATCTCACCCCGTGGAGTCAAAATGATCACAAGAACGGTGAGCAAAAATCCCAGGACCACACGGGGGGACCTAGCGAATGACCTGCAGAGAGCTGGGACCAACGTAACAAAGGCTACCATCAGTAAACACACTACGCCGCCAGGGACTCAGATCCTGCAGAGCCAGACGTGTCCCCTTGCTTAAGCCAGTACATGTCCGGGCCCGTTTGAAGTTTGCTAGAGAGAATTTGGATGATTCAGAAGAGGATTGGGAGAATGTCATATGGTCAGATGAAACCAAAATAGAACTGTTTGGTAGAAACACAACTCGTCGTGTTTGGAGGAGAGAGAATGCTGAGTTGCATCCAAAGAACACCATACCTACTGTGAATCATGGGGGTGGCAACATCATTCTTTGGGGCTGTTTCTCCACAAAGGGACCAGGACGACTGATCCATGTACAGGACAGAATGAATGGAGCCATGTATCGTGCGATTTTGAGTGCAAACCTCCTTCCATCAGCAAGGGCATTGAAGATAAAACGTGGCTGGGTCTTCCAACATGACAATGATCCCAAACATACCGCCCGGGCAAGGAAGGAGTGGCTTTGTAAGAAGCATTTCAAGGTCCTGGAGTGGCCTAGCCAGTCTCCAGATCTCAACCCCATAGAAAACCTTTGGAGGGAGTTGAAAGTTCGTGTTGCCCAGCGACAGCCCCAAAACATCACTGCTCTAGAGGAGATCTGCATGGAGGAATGGGCCAACATACCAGCAACAGTGTGTGCCAACCTTGTGAAGACTTACAGGAAACGTTTGACCTCTGTCATTGCCAACAAAGGATATATAACAAAGTATTGAGATGAACTTTTGATATTGACCAAATACTTATTTTCCACCATAATTTGCAAATAAATTCTTTCCAAATCAGCCAATGTGATTGTCTGGATTTTTTTTCTCATTTTGTCTCTCATAGTTGAGGTCTACCTATGATGCCAATTACAGGCCTCTCTCATCTTTTTAAGTGGGAGAACTTGCACAATTGGTGGCTGACTAAATACTTTTTTGCCCCACTGTATATCCTAGTTCCTGTTTTTTTTCTGTGTTCCCCATTGTGAAATGCCCAGGAGTTCTTTGCTAAGCCAAAGATCATAGAACTCTTGAATGTAGCAAATCCTTAACTATTTACTTCTGAGTGCTTGTGGGATTGTTGTCAAGCTTATTTTCATTGAGTCCCTCTCCTCTTTTTGTCCTTCAGTGCCTACCAATTCTATAAGAGAATCTGGAATTTGGGCAATGCGCAACACTGGTCCTTCAGACCACCTTTTTCACACTTATTTCCTGAAATCAAGTCTTTCTTTTATCCTGAGAGGACTATCCTTTCATCCTTTCACCTGTACTTCCTTGCTCCTTGAGTCTAGGTTATTGTATTAGTCGGTTTTCCCAAGTTCATGGGATCTCTCTGTTGGTTCACTTTTTAATTTGTCCTCCGCCGAATGTAATCTACAGGCTGCAAGGCTTTCACCTCCAGAAAAGATTGTGCACTCCTCCTGCAACTGACTGGGTGACTGACTCCCCCCTTTCTAAACACTGTTCAATCTTCATAGTCAATACTGTTTCCTTTTACACTCCAGTTTTGTTTCCCACATCTGATGTTACCCACTTAAAATGCGCTTTACAGGTCTATGGCTGCCATGTATCATCCATGGATATGGCAAGGGATCCAGGATCTATCCTAACAAATTCTTCAGTTCTCCAACAACTGAAGCTCATGCCTGTAGCCCTACTGTACTGCACTGCGTTGAAAGGCTAGTAAATATTATACACCTAATATCCAGAATGGGTCTTCTAATTGAACACATGTAGCGGGACCCTTTGGCTCAAATGTTGGTTTTGAAATATCAGTGCAAGATATGCTTTTTCTGTATGACCTTCGATGGGGAATGTCTGATGCATTCTGGGACAACTTTATGAAGGACATCATAACGGAAGAGCAGCCTTTTGCCTCAGGAAAAGAAACCCAAAGCAGCCCATAGATTATGCAATTTTCTTTCCTTCCACCATGGGTGGAAGGAACAAAAATTTCTTGATTCTCTCTTCGACAGAGTCAATGTTGATGGGGGGGAATCCCTACCGCAGTGCTGTTGTGTTCTTCTGAATGGGAGTCTTTTCTGCTGGCAGAACACAATGATCACAGCTAGTGTCTGTAGCCACTGGCAATGATCACATGAAAAAAATCCGGCAGGTTGGTTGTAATGAAATCGATCGATTTGTAATGAATCAACTGCAGTACAACCAGCCTGCCCATAGATGGATCACATTTCAGCTTGTCCCTTCTGAACAGGCAGAGATTTGAGCCATCTATGGCTGGTTTAAGCCTCAGTCTGGGAAAACCTCTACTTCTGAGGCTAAGAAGAGTTTTTTTTTTTCTTTTTTTTCATTTCTTCCAAGCCCCCAAGGTGCTGCCTGCTTTCAAAACTTTTTGGGTGCTTGGGTTCAGAATATGGTATCCAGGAGCTACAATTTTAATTTCTGCCTTGCTTCGGGTTGCTCTGTGCTGCTTTGCCACAGTACCTCTTTGAAGAGGTCATAGCTGTTGTTTCAGAACAGGAAAGCTTTCTACTCAAGCCTGTTCACAACTCCTAAATTGAAAGGGTGCATTCACTCTATACTAGATATAAAGATTCTCAATGCTTTCTTTCAGGTAGAAGAATTCCACATGCACTCTACAAGATCAGTCATTGGTTCCCTTCATTCAGGGAAATTTTCTGCCCTGCATGGACTTCACTCCAGGTGTAAAAAATTAAGTCAGCAACTACAAATACTGTATTTGCTGACTTTTTAAGAAACCGATATTTACAGCACTGGAATCCATGGACTTTTATTTCCAGTAGTCAAATCTTTGCTAGCCCTGGCTCGCTAAAGCTGCCATCTTGTATTTGGAAGTCAGCTTTGACTTGATGTCTTATAGCCAGCTCCTTACTGTGCATACGTGGTGAATGGAAACTGGTCTTGCAACCTCCCGGGACATGTGATGTCCCAAGAGACTCTGGAAGTTGGGCCAAGTGCACTTCATTCTTGACTAGGCAAGAATTTGAGAAAGTGGGAGATGGCACCGGTCAGAAAAAAAAAAAGTTACCTGCTTCCCAACTGGGAACAGGAAGATGGTGAAGTTCATCTTTAAATATGCTTACTTGCTTGTTCCCATCTTTCTGGTGCATCGATGCTGCCTGTGGTTTGCATGGGCCACGCAACATTTCCAATTTGTTGCCCTTTCTTATGGTCTGTCCACTGCACCTTGGGTCTTCAACAAGGTGCTAACCCAAGGGTGGGCAAACTTTTTGACTTGAGGGCCGCAGTGGGTTCATATATTGGACCCGGGGGCCGGACCAAGAGTAGATGAATGATGTGTATGTGTCATCCATAGTAAGTATAGTAATATTCCCCCATAGTAAGCATAGTAATTAATCCCCCATATAGTAATTCATCCCCCATATAGTAATTCATCCCCCATATAGTAATTCATCCCCCATATAGTAATTCATCCCCCATATAGTAATTCATCCCCCATAGTAATTCATCCCCCATAGTAATTCATCCCCCCTATAGTAATTCATTCCCCATATTAAGTCCCCAAGTCCCCCCTGTGTCAATTCACTTACCTTTGCTCCGCGCGTTCCTCTCACCGTGTTCCCGCGCTTTTCCGGTGTAGCATGAAAATCTGTCTCCTATGAGGATCTGTCCCCCTCGACGTATCTGCGCATGTGCCAGTTTCAGGCATTAGCAGCCGATCGGCGATCTCCGGCACATGCGCAGATACGTCGAGGGGGACAGATCCTCATAGCAGACAGATTTTCATGCTACACCGGTCTTCAGGGCGGATTGTGAGAGGAGCCTAGCGGGAGCCTAGCTTCGCGGGCCGGATTAAAAGGTCCGCCGGGCCGTATACGCCGTGGGCCGTAGTTTGCCCATTGCTGTGCTAACCTCTGTACTTGTTCTGATTTGCTATTACCATAGTGTGGTATGTCGACCGTTTTCTATCGAGATAACAGTCAGCCCAGACTCAATGTCCAACAAGTTGTTCAAATATTGCAGAGGTTTGCATGGATCCTGAATCTTTAGAAATCAGTGCCTGCACTTACTCATTGCTTGGAGAAGCCCTCCTCGTTCATACTGCTCTATACAGGTTATTTCTTCTGCTAGGCTAGGACAGAGTCCTACACACCCTCTCAGTGCAAGGGACCTGGTCACTGGAGGAAGCTTCTCTCCCAGTCAATATTCTGGAGCTACGATCGGCTTGGATAGTTCTTTAACGCTCTCTCAATCAACTTCTTAATTGCAAGATCATCCAAGCAGTGCACCTTTCAGGTGTTAAAATTGGCAGGTGGACGTTCTCAGTCAGTAGTGTCTGGAAAAGATTAGTCTCTTCACTTGGAAGTGTTTCAAGACCTCTTTCATTGGAGGGGAACACCAGATGTCGACCCTTCAGTGCACTCTATTTTTCTTGTCAAGGGTATTCCCCCTACTTCCCCTTAGGGGGGCTGGTTGTACATTGATATTTCCGTCCCATCAAGCGGTAGACCCTTCTTTGGAGAGGGAGATTTGTGCATCTAGGTGCATCTCCCACATGGCAGTAAGACACCATCACTGGGGGACCCTGTGTTTATTTCATATACTTGTATAGCGCCATCAATTTACGCAGTGCTTTACATATATATTTTAGATTCACAACAGTCCCTAACCCTCAAGGGGTGTACAGTCTAAGGTCCCTAACTGACTTTCATACATACACATACTAGGGCCAATTTAGACAGGAGCCAGTTAACCTTCCAGCATGTCTTTGGAGTGTGGTAGGAAACCAGAGTACCCGGAGGAAACCCACGCAGACACATGGAAAACATGCAAACTCCAGGCAGGTGGTGCTGTGGTTGGGATTCGAACCAATGACCCTAGTACTGCCAGGCAGAAGTGCTAACCACTTAGCCACTGTGCTGCCCTATTTGTTGTCCCATGTTGTCAGCAGACTGCTCACGCAGAGATCCTTTAGCAGGTACTCCCTGTTGGGGGTAGAGTATATCCAGAGACCTTTGCATAGACACTTCATTAATAGGGTGACAGCTCTTTGTCCCATCTCCCAAATTGTATTCCTGTGTTGCAATGGGCTTCCGATGGAGAACACAGGGGGCTGGTTTAACACTCTATGCAGATATTGTCCACTGTTGTCACCATCTGGTAACCAGAGAAATGCAATGCAGCTGTCACTGGAGTGCATGTATGTAGAAGGGAAGTGACTGCAAAGAGGTTGCAAGAGATCAGCAGCACTGGGCTGATACAAAAAGTTGAAACTGGGTATTTTTTATAAAAAGAGAAAATAATGGTTGTTTCATAATACAGTGCTTTAGAAAACTGAATGTAATTCTGTGAGGGCCCATTTATACTTAAGCTTTCTTTTGCGGTGCGTTAATGTGCATGCATTGCTTTAAGGCAGCACATTCATTATTTAGTATTTACAATGCATTCTAGTGCCATATCCAGTGATGGTACGCAGTATATTGCGCATAGAACAGGTGAACAGATCATAGGGGTATCTATACTCTGTTATCGGGGACCTACTTTTCCTGACACCTCCTGTCGGAGTACCCTGTATGGCTTCAGTGACCTTCCTTTTAGAGATGGCAGTTTTTTAGGACTTTGCCATTAAAGAGGGATAAGTCACAAATCTGTGTAAACAAAAAGTTAAACTAACTTTAAAATGGGGAACAGAAGACAATGATTTCAGGCTGCTACAGATAATTGCAGCCATTTTGTGCTGCTGATTCTTAGGCAGTGTTCTAAATGGAGTGCAGGCTAATGAGTCATGTGCAATGTATAGTATGTTGCCTTCCTATTTGCAGTGTACGCTTACTTTTCTGTATGTGTTCAGGTACAGGGATGTTGAAAATAGATTTTGTCGGCGAGTTGAATGATAAAATGAAAGGCTTCTATCGAAGTAAATACAATACAGCTTCTGGAGAGGTGCGCTATGCTGCAGTCACTCAGTTTGAGGTAAGGACATGGGGCTCTGGGGATTGATTAGAGCAACTTACAAAGTGCCTGGCTGTGTCTCAGTACTGTGTTGCTAATGTTGTGAATGTGATATGAAACGCATCTGTTCTCTTTACAGGCCACAGATGCACGAAGAGCTTTCCCCTGCTGGGATGAGCCTGCTATCAAAGCAACCTTTGATGTTACTCTCATTGTCCCGAAGGACAGGGTAGCTTTGTCAAATATGGTAAGAATCTGATGCTTACTCCACTGAAGTGGAGTCTAAATCCTACATTGGCCACTCACAGTTTTATTTTGCCTGTTGAATCCAATCACTTTTATATTGACAGTCGTAGTTTCATTGCTTTCTATAGATAAGACCGTGTAAACGGTAATGTACAACTACTTGCCTAAAAGAATGTTACTGTTATCAGGCTGAGGATTTGCCAATACTGGTTAAAGTCCACAACTGCACTTGTGCAATGTTTCTCCTGTTTCAGTTGAATCTTTATTCTTTTGAACAACTGTCAGTGCATGGGCTTGTATATGGGTGTCTGGTGCTACATTACTTCTGGCCACAGATTTGATATCTTCACACTTGCCCATATCCTCGTTCCTTGCCCATACCCTCGTTGCTTGCCCATACCCTCGTTGCTTGCCCATACCCTCGTTGCTTGCCCATACCCTCGTTGCTTGCCCATACCTCGTTCTTGCCCATACCCTCGTTGCTTGCCCATACCCTCGTTGCTTGCCCATTAAAAAAACCCTCGTTGCTTGCCCATACCCTCGTTGCTTGCCCATACCCTCGTTGCTTGCCCATACCCTCGTCACTTGCCTTAGCTGCCGACCAAACTCAACAAATGCTGCATCTTGTGTATTCAAATAAGCTGCATACCCTGTTGCTATTCAAATAAGCACGTCTCCGCATAAAAAGCCGCTTGCAAATCACTCAAGTATAATTAATAATTCATCACAATACACTTTGTATATTCCAGTTATATGGGAGCACCCATTTGCAAATGACCAGCACCAGATTTGTGTTTCCTCCCTATTTAGAAGACAGTTTTATGTATGAATACAAGTGTTCAGTAACTAAAAAGCAACCAGTTTTTATTTTATCAGCTACTGTTGAACTGGGATAACTGACTGGTATCTGATTGTTTGCCATTTGCTTTGTGCACCCACCTCTCCTCCACTTTCACTGCCATCATTAGGCGTACTACCTAGAACAGGGGTCTCAGGTTTATTATCCTTCAGACTTCAGGGGAGAAGGACTGTGGCAAGCGGGAGTGGAACTTTTTCCTGCGTCAGTGGGAGTAAACCACCACCACAGTTGAAGGTATAGTGCTCCATTGTTGGTGCCAGTGGGAGAAATGATGCACCATTGTTGGTGTCAGTTGACAGTATAGTATCTCATATCAGTGGGAGGAATGGTGCCCCAAGGGCCAGATAAAGGCAAGCAAAGGACTGCAGTTTGGAGACCACTGACCTAAAGTATTCAGTAATGATGGAACGGATCATGATAAGAAGATACAGTTAAAGTATGTATTTTAGTGAGCAGATATATTGTGCAGTTATTCCATTATTTTACTTAAAGTAATTCTTCCTATGACCCTCATTTATTTATTTCAGGTACTTATATAGCGCTGTCAATTTAGGCAGTGCTTTACATATATATTGTACATTCACATCAGTCCCTAACCCTCAAGGGGTGTACAATCTAAGGTCCCTAACTTACATACACATACTAGGGCCAGTTTAGATGGGAGCCAATTATCCTGCCAGCATGTTTTTGGAGTGTGGGAGGAAACCGGATTACCTGTAGGAAACCCACGCAGGCACAGCGAGAACATGCAAACTCCAGGCAGGTGGTGCCGTGGTTGGGATTCGAACCAGTGACTCAGATGGAAGTGCTAACCATTTAGCCACTGTGCTGCCCAACTTCTCATTAATTGGATGACACAAGCCAATAATCCTTTGTAATGTGTATACTACAGCAAACTAGGGGTTTGTATAGTCTGCAAATTAAAAAGTGGCCAGCTCCCTTCATTGGCTATACCTCTAAACCTGTTTGAGAGCTCCAGTTTAGCTTGGTGTCTTGAAGAGGAAGGATGGCTCTCTCCATCTTTGCTGGACATAGACTAGTATGAAAGATTCTTCAATAAAACAGCTGCTGGCAGTTTCATGCTAGATATTAGAATTCTTGTCAAACTCTCTAGCAGTCAACAAGTGCAATGTCCTCCCAGACTGACTTAAATCTGGTACTTTATTGCAAGAGTCCTTCACCTGATTCTTCACTGCAGTGTTCTTCCTAGTGAGAGTGAATGTCACTGCAGGGAACAGTTTGTACCTGTCAGACTACCTGATCAGTGCAGACATGACAGCAGTTCTCTGCAGGTTTTCCAGGGCCAGTCCAAGCCTGCGATTTACAGGATGACCGTGAAGACTTGCCTTTTCATAGTGTTCTTTGCTCAGTTTGCTATGTTCTTGGATGTGTTTTTTTTTTTTTTCTACTGTGGTAGCCATCACTTTATTTTTAATTTGGGCATTGTGACTTTTTTTTTTTTTTTTGGAGCTCTTTCCTGAATCTTTCTTTTCCTTTTTGATATGGACATCTGCTCACACTTCAAACCCCCTGTTGTTCTCTTCATAGTGAAAATTGCATCCCACAATGTGAGTAGGATATGTTCAGGGGTTAAAGCAGGGCATCTTCTGCTGCTCTTTGCTAGACGGTCTTTTCATCACAACTTTCACCAGCCTGAAACACAGTAGGGTTGTCCTGTTAAGTGTTGCCATTTTTAATGAGCTAGTGTCCACTTACATCCCCCCTTAATGAGAGTATTGGCGCATAAAGTGGAAAAAACCCACCAACGGCCTCGAAGGATAAACCGCAATGGCTAGATTCTAATAGCAGCCTCTCAAAGTAGCAGTCTCTGAAAGAAATGCAGCAGGTATGAAAAATCCTCTGGGATGATGAATAATATAAAAGTCCAAAATGGATCCAAAGCTTGACTCTGTGGCAGCCAATTCAAAGAGCTCGAATCAACTCCGTGTAACAGCAAGCAGAGAGAAGGAACCAGCGCTATCTGAGTGTAGCATAAAAGAATTGCTACACTCACATGGTGCTGCTTCCTTTTGCTTTTTTTTACATCCTCCCTAAACTGTTAAAGGTCATTCAGTCCCCTGTGTGTGATTGTGTACCCCACTACCTTGCTGGATGTGGGTATAGCCCTCTCTCTGGCACTTGGCAGTGGCATCTGCTCCTTAAAGTGTTACTAAACCCAGGAGCCTGCATTCACTATATCCGGTCTCCCACAGTACACACAACATGGAAATGCAATTATTTTAGTAAATATAAACTGCTAAATACCTTTTCTCATCAGCAGTTCGAGCAGGCTTGTGACTTCAGCAGAGCGCACTGGTTAAAGCTTGTAGGAGGATTTGTTTTTGCTCTAGGACAGGGGTGGGCAACTGTGGCCCTCCAGCTGTTGAAATACAAGTCCCATCATGCCTCTGCCTTTGGGAGTCATGCTTGTAACTGTCAGTTTTGCAATGCCTCATGGGACTTGTAGTTCTACAACAGCTGGAAGGCCACAGTTGCCTACCCCTGCTCTAGGAGGATGTGAAAGTCCTGACCCTCTGTCTGAACAGTTCTGATTGGCCCTGTGCTGATCACATGCACTCTCCCAAGAAAAAAAAAACCCTCTAGCACTACACACTAGACTGAGCATTTTCATGTGACTATGGATTCAGTCTGTATCAGGTGGCCGTTTCAACAAGAGGAGGGCCAAAGAAGACGGGATCAAAAGCCCTTTTACACAATGCAGAGGATTAACCCCTTAGGTTCCACAGTGAATATAACAAGCATGCTTTACTGCATATACAGACTGATTTTACTGTTGTGGGTTTTGTAACACTTTAAGAGACATCATTTGTTGCTTTTGTGCACTTGAACGTTCTCTAGTCTGGCAACATGTTTGACACAAAAGGGATTGATAGACTCCAACAGCAGAATATGCGTGCTTGTGCTACCTGTAACCTCACTTATTATTCACTTTACGGAGTAGCCTTGTCACCCTACAACAGGAGGTGTTAGGACTATAGAACACCTCCCCCTGATTTCCAAAATGTGCAGGAGAGTGTCTGTTCTGTCGTTAGCAGGTGAACTGGACAGGACTGGTAATGCTGCTTAACCTCCCTAGCGGTATCCCGAGTGTAGCTCGGGGTAAAGTTTCTGCACCACAAGCGGTAACCCCGAGCTACATTCAGGAATACCCTGCAGCGCTGCATCGGGATCTCTTCTTCACTTACCTTGTCCTGCGCTCCCACGATGTCCCTCCTGCAGTGACCCCGGCAATGTCCTCCCGGCCGATGGCGGCATCTGTCTTCTGTTCCCTGCGACGTCTGGATGTACGGGGACAGAACAGCGGGAATTTGAAAGTTGTAAAAGTGACATTCACTAAATACACTAAAATCACATAGAACCATTTCACATACATTTTGTCCCGAGTGCTTTGTCCTGTGCCCTGCCTGCATTTTTACCGTTCTTTCTGCCTGGAAACTGAGAAATGTCCATGGCATCCAAAAAGTGTCCCTTTAGGTCAAAATCGGTTTTAGGCCAGCTAGAGAACAGCGATAGTAAATCAGAACCACTTGCAGAATTGAGTGATAATGATTCGTGGGGAAATTCGTCATCAGACACTAAAAACGATTTTGCGACTTTGCTCAGCGTTGTGCGAACTTGGCGCTATATTTCAAATTTCAGTGTTTTTGGTTTGATTATATTAAATTTATTATTATATTATTTTTTATGATTGTTAAATTGTAATTTATGATTTCGTGTTTCAAATTTTAACATACCCGGGATGTTTACTAGACTCTTGTTCAGACAGATTTCAGTGAGTTATTCCTAAAAATTACAGGCCTACAATAAAAGAAAATACATATTTCCATGCAAAAAAAATGTACCGCTTTGAGCACAGAAATATGGACATAATCATACCGCTAGGGAGGTTAATACAAAACAAGATCGCACTAAATTTCTGGCATGACCAACACATTTTTTTTTTTTCTTTTGAAAAAAAAAATGCCTCAATTGTATATCAGAAGCAAAGGGGACAAAGAACAGAAGTTCATTGTTGGGACTTTCTGATACTTTCACAGCATCTGGGCTGATGCACAGTGTGAAGCCTACAGGTTCTCATCCCGCACAAGGTCTAAAGGATAAGTTCGCCTTTGAAAAAACTAATAAATGATTATCTTTTTGCAGGTGAAAAAAATGTGCATTTATTTATTTTTTTTCAATAGGAGCCTGTAAAGCATTGCACCTGCAATCAGCAGATCGTAGGTGCAATGCTGGGCTCCTGCAGACTGTCACTATGTGCTGTCTGCTCGCTCCTCGTACGTGCAGGTAGTTACACAATGACAGGAAGCATCAATGAACTACCTAGAGCGCTCACCAGTACCCTGGTAGTTCATTGAGAACCACAAGTCATCAGCCACACAAAGGCGGTCAGTACTTGTCGTTCATTCCTTCACAGAACTTTGTATGGGAATGACACAGCTGGGTGGGCAGAGTCTCACAAGCCCACATTTAAAAAAAAAAATTGGGACATTGGGTGCAGAGAGAAGATCCCCGCTAGCTGTCTCAAAGGGAGGGTTGGGGGGGAGTGTTGGCTGCTGCAAAAGTAACATGTTATGTGTTACACCCTGAACATGGGTGTAACATATTATAAAAGATGAACTTACCCTTTAAATTTGTGGCTCTTCCCCGGGCTGACTTTAAGCCCCAAGAGTATTAACATAGGTCCTAGCCACTTTCCTGCCCCCACTATAGACCAGGAATATCTCTGGACAGCTGCCCTCACAATCCAGAGAGATAAACAAAGAACACCACCAATTGATTGCCTTATGAGTCCATACGCATTTGTTACAATTCAAACCACAAGCGAACACATTTTTTTGGCCAAACTGTCCATCAGGGCTTAAACAGATGGAAAGATCCCTAAAGGACTATTGTTAACCAGAACCTTCGATAGCGTGTACTTATCCAAGTTTGACCATTGCAACTATCTATGGTTGTGTGCTAAACCAGCATTTACCAGCTTTGTTTGGTCAGGACACCCTTTAAAAGTGTGCAAAATTCCGAGGCACCCCATTGTAAAATGAACCACCTCCCCAAATCATGCTAGAGTCTTCTCTCTTCTCAGCACAAGTTGTCTCCTTTTTGAATCCCCACCCCCAGGACAAATCCATCCTAACACTAATTCTCTCTCACCCCCTTCCAATTTCCCTGCCTTGCAACAAATCTTTCCTCCATGTTCCACCACCCTAACACAAATCCTTAATTCCCCACAGTAGAAATCGTACCCTTTCCCAACACAAATCCTCCACCTCATCCCAGCACAAATTCTCTCTGCTCCCAAACTCCGAAGAACCCTCTCCTTTCCAATTATCCCCAAGTATAATCCTCCGTCAACGCAATCTTTCGACCTGCACGGACCCCTCTCCCACCTCTCCCCTTTCAGCACAAGTCAATCCCCCCTCTTACCGTAAATCTGTAACCCCCTTCAAATTAACCCTTATAGCCCAAATCTACACCTCCTCTTACCGCAAATTTGAACCCCCCCTTCTTTTGAAATTAACCACCTAGCACAAATCCCTCCCCTTCCCAATTCCACCTCCCCAGCACAAATCCCCCTCCCACCAGTATAATCCTCCTTCAATGCAATCTTTCGACCTGCACGGACCCCTCTCCCACCTCCCCCCAGCATTAATCCATCCCCTTTTCAGCACAAGACATCCCCCTCTTACCGTAAATCTGTAACCCCCTTCAAATTAACCCTCATAGCACAAATCTGCCCCCCCATCCCCCCTCTTAGCACAAATCCCCACCCCCTTCCCCCCATTTAAGCTATCCTTTGACCTCTCCAGCTGCTTTAAACTTGCCTTAATTCATTCTGAAAGATCACAGCAAAGCCTCTAGTCTGGTTTCTGTCAATGTCCAACTGCTTGGAAACATCCTCTGCTGGTTTACATTAAAAGGCAGATAGGCTACCAAGATTGTGGTGCAATAGAAATAGTGCCTCTGTTGTGAAATTTGAAGATACGTTTTGTTCACAATGCCTATAGCTACAGAGGTAAGTGAGGCCTAGTTTTTATGACTTGTTCAGAACATGTGAATACTTTAGCGAGCGTAGTCTGGGCACAGGTACACTTTAAGAAACATTTTTCATGCTGTTTTTTTTTAAGATTGCTGCCTTTAGCAAGATTCTGTTCTGGCCACCTGATTGCTATCTTGCTCCCTACAGACATTTTAACATTGTTTTGTTTTTCAAGATGTTTACTTTCTTGCTCAAATTTTGTACTCTGTTCTGTAGAATCTAACTGAGCGCAAGCCATACCCTGATGACAATAACTTGGTGGAAGTCAAAATTTGCTCGCACGCCAATAATGTCAACCTACCTTTTGGCCTTCGTGGTGGGAGAGTACGACTTTGTGGAAACACGTTCTACAGATGGAATCCTGGTCCGTGTTTACACTCCAGTTGGAAAAGCGGAACAGGGAAAGTTTGCTTTGGAGGTAGGTTCTGTTTTTGGGTCTGCTGATTTGATTGTGTTACGAATTCATTCCCCACCAACCACTTATGTGTATTGCTCCTTCAGGTTGCTGCTAAAACTCTGCCTTTCTATAAGGATTACTTCAATGTGCCCTACCCACTTCCCAAGATTGACCTCATCGCCATTGCAGACTTTGCAGCTGGTAAAGTTCTACTAACTGGCCTGTTGTACAGGCGACACCCTATCCCCTGCTCTGCTTCTCTTTTTTACTTTCTGTTTGTTTTTCACAGGAGCCATGGAAAACTGGGGCCTGGTCACATACAGGTACATATGTTGCTTCCCTGTCCTCTTCTGTGATCTTGGTTTACTAAAAGCTCTGTAGTTGTTAACTCTTTAATGTCCGATTTATCTTCACTTATTCCAGTAAGCTTAAATTGCTTGTTCTTGTGAGATTGTTTCCTGAGACTAAATCGCACCATGTCCAAAAGCTTGTTGCTACCCTTTTGTTAATTATACCCTGATTATCACAAGCAATGTTTAGATCAGGGGTGGGCAAACATTTTGACTTGAGGGCCGCAATGGGTTCATATATTTGACCCGGGGGCCGGACCAAGAGTAGATGAATGATGTGTATGTGTCATCCATAGTAAGTATAGTAATATTCCCCCATAGTAAGCATAGTAATTAATCCCCCATAGTAATTAATCCCCCATAGTAATTCATCCCCCATATAGTAATTCATCCCCCATATAGTAATTCATCCCCCATATAGTAATTCATCCCCCATATAGTAATTCATCCCCCATATAGTAATTCATCCCCCATATAGTAATTCATCCCCCATATAGTAATTCATCCCCCATATAGTAATTCATCCCCCGTATAGTATTTCATCCCCCATAGTACTATTCCACCCCAAGTAGTAAGCCAAGTCCCCCCTGTGTCAATTCACTTACCTTTGCTCTGCGCGCGTTCCTCTCGCCGTGTTCCCGCGCCGTTCCGGTCTTCAGGGCGGACTGTGAGAGGAGCCTAGCTCCCCTCACGTTCGTCACGCTGCCCCGCCTACACACAATCCTGACAGCCATCCTGACAGTATCACGCTCCACGGGCCGGATTAAAAGGTCCGCCGGGCCGTAGTTTGCCCATTGCTGGTTTAGATCTTTGTATATTAAGAGAAAGGTATGTACAAGCCCTGGCAAAAAGTACGGAATCACCACTCTTGGAAAATGTTCATTCAGTTGTGTAGAAAAAAAAAAAAACAAACAATCAGACATGCCTCAAAACTATTTTCGTTTAACATTCCAACCTTCTGGCTTTAAGAAACACTTAAGCAAAAAAAAAATTAAAGAAACTAGTCAGTTGCAACTGTTTTTGCTGATCAAGCGGAGGAAAAAAAATATGGTATCACTCAATTCTGAGGAAAATATTATGGAATCATCATGTACTTTGCAATTCTAAAACATCTGCTTCAGATTACATCTATATAGTCTGCAGTTAGAGTGCTTGCACACCTTGATGAGCTGTTGCACCAAGCTGATTGACATGAATCATGGCTCCAAAACAAGAGATGTCAAGTTGAAACAAAGGAGAGGATTATAAAACTTCTAGAAGGAAATCATCACGGAATGTTGCAAAGGTGTTGGGTGTTCCCAGTCAGCTGTGTCTAAAATCTGGACCAAGCACACATCAATTGGGAAGGTTGTAAAAGGGAAGCATACTGGTAGACCAAGGAAGACATCAAAGTGTCAAGATGGAGAACTTAAAGCAATATGCCTTGAAAACAGAAAACGTACAACAAAACAAATGAGGAACAAATGGGTAGAAACCGGAGTCAAGGTCTGTAACAGAACTTTAAGGCATCGCCTAAAGGCAACAGGATTTACATACAGAAAAAGCCAAATGAAAACCATCATTAAAACCTAAACAGAAAAAAGCAAGTTACAGTGAGCTAAAGAAAAGCAATCATGGACTGTTTATGGCTGGATGAAAGTGATATTCAGTGATGAATCACGAATCTGCATTGCGCAGGGTGATTATGCTGGAACTTTTTGTACAAATGTACAAAGACGATTGCCTGAAGAAAACATGCAAATGTACACAATCATTGATGATATGGAGTTGCATGTGAAGTAAAGGTACGGGGGAGATGGCAGTCATTAAATCTTCAATAAATGCACAAGTTTATATTGTGATTTTGGACTCTTTACTTACTCTGTCAATTAAAAAGGATGTTTGGTGATGATGACATCATTCTTCAGGATGATAATGCATCTTGCTATAGGGCAAGAACCGTGAAAGCTTTCCTTCAAGAAACACATATGTCAATGGCATGGTCTGCAAATAGTCTGGACCTCAATCCAATTGAAAATCTATGGTGGAAATGATAGAAAATGGCCCATGACAAAAGCTGTAACCTGCAAAGCTGATCTGGCAACTGCAATAAGAGAAAGTTGGAGCCAGATTGATGAAATATATGGTTTGTCGATCGTTAAATCCATGCTTTAGCGAATTCAAGCTGTTATAAAAGCCAGAGGTGGTGCAACAAAGTACTAGTGGTGTACTGGTGTGTGTTTTTTTTTTTTTTTTTTTTTTTTTCTCAGAATTGAGTGATTCCATATGTTTTTCCTCTGTTTGATCTGCAAAAACAGTTGCAACTGGATACAGTTTTCTTTCTTCTTTTATTTCAAGTGTTTTTAAAGCCAGAAGGTTGGAGTGTTAAATGAAAATAGTTTTTAGGCATGTCTGTGACTAGTTTTTTTTTTTTTTTTTTTTTTCCTACACAATTAAACAGTTGAATGAACATTTTCCAAGAGTGGTAATTCCATACTTTTTGCCAGGGTTGTATATTTTTATTTATTTTTATTTCAGGTCCTTATATAGCATATGGCTTTCTATATGGCTGCGGTTTGACATCAGATGTTTCGTGAAGACTTGTGGAGTGTTGGGGAGAGTGTTGCTTTTGGCGTATTAGAAAGCTAAAGGCAGCCCATACTGTAGATAATTCAGTTTTCTTTGTTCAACTAGTAGGTTGAACAAAAAAACTGACTCTGTTCCCGTATTCACACATTTAAGATTGATGGGGGAATCCTTCCGCTGAGTTATTGTGCTCAGACAGCGGTGAGGCTTCCCCACTGTCAGAATGCACTGATTGGCGCTGCAGATTCTAGTGTGCAGTGCTGATCGAGTGGAGAAGATCCGACGGGGCAGTTGTACAGAAGTCATTCAGTAGACTGACTTCTGTACAACCTCTCCGCTCATAAATAGCTCAAAATTTGGCTGTCCCTGCTGAACCGAATGAATTTCGATCCATGTATGGCTCTCGTAAGACTGATCATGATGTGATAGAAATTGATCATTTTAACCATATAAATCAGATTATTATTTTTGATACAAGGATCTGACAGATGACAAGCTGAATATTTGTGTGATGGAGTAAGCAATAGCCAACACATACCTACAGCTGTTTCAGCTGGGGTAGAGTAAACAGACAAAACAAGCACTTGATTAGTCCATAACCAACAGAGAGATTGTTAACCTTGAACAAAATACAACCATTCTTAAGCATACCTCTTGCAAAAGAAACCTTCCCCCATGTAGGCTTTCTCTGTATTTTTTTTTTTTTTTTCATTTTTCTTTTGTTTTTTGCCTTGTGTTTCTGTATAATAAAGTATCACACTGTTCATAGGTATCCTGACATTGGTATTTAGATGTCTGCCTAAAAATGCAAATGTGTGCAAAAGTTCACAAATGCAGATACCCCAACTCAAGTCAGATCTTTTTTATTTCATTTTTGAACATTTAGGGGTTTTTTTTAACAAACAAATGCACAACTTGTGCGCAACACACTACTACTACTAAGCAAGGACACTGGTCATACAGTGATAAAATAGAAATCAGTAAATGGCACACATGCAAGAGGAAAAAAAAATGTAACTGTTTAAGCCTGTGCTCACACTGATGCGCTGCAGGATTTGCAGAGTTTTCTGTGCAAAATCTGCACCACATCAGAATCGCACCCTGTTCATGCGAACTGCTGTGGGTGTGTATGTTAAGTTAACACAGTGTTTCTCAACTCCAGTCCTCATGGACCCCCAACAGGTCATGTTTTCAGGATTTCCCTCAGATGAAACAGCTGTGGTAATTACTAAGGTAGTGAAACTGATCAAATCACCTGTGCAAAATAATGGAAATCCTGAAAACATGACCTGTTGGGGGTCCATGAGGACTGGAGTTGAGAAACACTGCGTTAACACCCTGAAATCAGTCCACAAAATGCAGTGCGATGTGCAGAATCAGATCGCATGGGTGTGAATACCCATGCGATCAGATTCTAGTGCGGACCAAAAAAAGGGCCCTGCACCCTTTTGGTGTGGATGCAGTGCGTTTGGAGCCATACAACATGTATGGCTCCAATCGCACCGCACACAATTTGCATGTGATTTGCACAGGAGTGCAGTTACTGTGCGACTCACATGCGATATACACCGCACTGCATATGTGTGAACCCAGCCTAAGTGTTAGCTGGATTTCAGTTTCAATTTGTTAGTAAAGTTCATCTAAATCTGTCTAGCATTACTTTCATCCAGAATGCAAACACCTTAAGACAGGATGTTTGTTACGGGCCAGATCAGCAGGTGAAATAAAGAGAAATAAACCTAGAAAGAAACAAGAAAATGCAGCCACATGTTACATTTTTGTTTTTGGGTTTAATGGATTGTAAGCTCCAAGGAGCAGGGCCCTCCTCTCCCTCTTGGATTGAGCTGTTTCGCTGCTTTATTGTCTCCCATTATATTGTAAAGCTCTGAGCAAACTGTTGGCTCTACATAAATCCTGTATAATAATACTGCTTGAATGTTTTCAACATTTTAGGTTCATTGTTTTGTCCCACCCCATGTACAATTTTTCTACCACTGGTTATAAACTGATCTAAGTTGCTGCCATTTTTTAGTTGTAGGGTGTTACAAAACAGGATCATGGAGGATATCTTCCAAATGCAATTCTTAATTTTCAAAATACAGCAAACTGCATGAAATTGCATCTGGTGAAAGAGCCCTAAAATTTTTTCCCATATTGGCTGTTTTAGGCTGGTTCGGACTTCAAGATGTCTATGGCAGTGATTATCAACTCGATTGTTAAGGGGGGTCTTATTTATGGTCCCTAACATTACAAAAGGACTTCACGTAATCTTTAGTGAATGTAATGCTAAAAAAAACTGTCCATGACTACAGACATGCAGCGGGAGATTGTCAGAGACTGCAGACGTGCTATGGCAGTTAGAAACAGGGGGTATACTTTAGGAGATAGTCACAGACTAGAGACGCACTACATGACTCTAGAGATTGCGGTTGTTACAGTCCTTTTTACAAATCCATTCAATTCATTCTCTTTACATCCCTCTTTAAGATTACTTGTCACCTTTGAAAATATTCCTCAGGATACTTTCTAAAAGAAATAAACAAGGCCCTTTAAAGTGGAGCTCCACCCAAAAGGGGAAGTTCCGCTTTAAGCCTTTGTCCCCCATTCCCCATTAAGGATTGGCACCTTTGGGGAGGTGGGTACCCAAATTTGACAGGTACCCGCTCTCACTTCCACTGCGATTGCCTAGGGAATCGGAAAAGGAAGTTATGCTCCCACCTCCCTCCCTGTAGTCTTCTGGGATATGTGACAGGTCCCAGAAGACTACAGGGCCATTCTCAAAGTGCAGCTATTCTCGCACATGCGCAGCAGGCACCCGGCTATGAAGCTGCAAGATGTCACAGCCAGGTGCCCACACTGAAGATACCGGCGCCGGGAAGAGAAGACGGCTGGTGAAACCAGCCGTGGTGAGGATACTGCTATACCAAGGGATAGGTAAGTGTCTGTATTTTAAAAGTCAGTACAGTTTTTGTAGCTGCTGACTTCTATTTTTTTTTTTTCCTCAGCTGGAGCTCCGCTTTAACTTTTGAAACCTGGTCTAGAGAATATTATTCCTTCACTGTCCTCAGTAAGCACTTAAGGAAAGTAAACACAGGCTACTGTCTGCAGGGGCCCTAAGGGCCACACAATAAGTGCCAAAAGAATGTAGGTTGAGCATTAGTGGTCTAAGAGGGTACTTTAATAACAGTTGGTGCTCTTCCTCTGCCCTGCAAATTTATGGTAATAAGTTTGATTACTGGATCCTAAAGAGTGGAGCGCACCTGAAAAGGTATCACCCCCCCCATTATACTTACCTAGGTGGTTGCAGCATCGATCTGATGCTACATGTCCCCCACCGGCTCGAAGTGTGAGAACTCAGCGACTCACATGGCCGCTGAGTTCTCACAGCTGCTCTGAGCTCGGCGACTGTGAGTCAGAGGGTGCAGCTGGCTCAGGCTCTCAGCAGATCGCTGAAAGGCCAAGCCAGGTGCCGCTCCAGACTCTGGGATGGATCCCAACTTTAAAGTCGGGATCTTTCCCCAGCCTGGAGCTGCTGAATGACATCAGCTGACAGAGAGCATCAGCCCACTGTCAGCTGAAACCGAGTCACAGGAGTGCAGAACAAACTGCATTCCTGTGAGCAACAGAAGTACAGATAAAAGCGCTTTAGCTGTACTCCTCCTTTAATGCTTACCAACATACATCAGTGTATATATTATTTGCAAGTGATTGTTACAATTGTATGATGTCCCTTAGCAAATTATATCGAAGAGAGATTTTGAAACTTTGGTTTTTCATCTTCTGGTATTCAACATTGGGGGAAACGTTTTGCTTTTTATAGTAAATAAATCCTAATAGTGTATTTTTAATTTTTTTTGCTCACTTTAGAGGTACTAGTAATTTGCTCACATCAAGGGTTTTTCAAGATTAGGTAACCAACTCCAATTTGTACATGCTGGATTTCCTAATGTTGAGAAGGTCTAGCATCCCACTGGTCTAAAGTCGTTCTGTTTTACTTGCCCATAGTAGTCTATTTTTGTGTAATGTATTGAAGCTATTTTTTTCTCTTGAATGTAGGGAGACGGCTCTGCTTATTGATCCCAAGAACTCTTGCTCTTCCTCCCGACAGTGGGTGGCACTAGTTGTTGGTCATGAACTGGCACACCAGTGGTTCGGTAATCTAGTCACCATGGTAAGCATGTCTTTTTGTTTGTTTTTTTTTTTTTGTTTTCCAAAAGAAAACATGGTGGCTATAGATAGACTATTTCACATTTAATAATTTATTTGCAATTGCCATTATGGGTCAATTTTACATAAAATGTAAAGCTTGCGTGCACTTTCACAATATGGAGGTATAAATTATTTTTCAGAAAGTGCTTGTTCTGCTTTCTGTGCCCTGTTTTTGATAGCATGTCATACACAAATGTGTAGCTTCTCTCTATAGTGACGGTTTGCACTGCGGATCGCAACCTCACTGAACTAACTACTAAGAGAAAATAAACCACTTAAAAGTTTACTGTGTTCCTTTTTAATATGGATATGATCTGGATTTCACTGAAGAAATAATAGCAGTAAAATACAATTACTGTGTGCACTTGTAAACCCTTAACGTGGAAGATGAGCCTAAGTCACTATTCTTAAAATTCTTCCCTTCTTCCTACCTACACAGCCTAACCTGTATAAAAAAAAAAAAAGATGCATAAACTTGCCTATTTTTATTCTGTTCTGGTCCTGTCATGTGATCCCACATCTCCCCTGTGTCAGTGAACAGATGCTGCAGGAGAGAGAAGGGAGCACCGACAATTAGACCAGTGCACAATAAAAATAGGTAAGTACACACATTTTTTTTTTTTTATACAGGTTAGGCAGCCCCCCACCAAATACATATCTGATTCCTTTTTCAATCCAGCGCTGTGCCCGAGTGCAGCATTGCGGCTTTCTCTCTCCTCACAGGTACAACACTAAATCCCAGAATAATGATGTTTCCCGTGTGCCAGAGCAGGACCCATTCTAACACCAGTCTCTGCGATTCATTCTAGCTCTTTCAGGCAGGCAACAAGCTGCCTACTTGACTATAGCAGATTTATATGTAATAGTAAAATAACAGAGTGCAGCGCTAAAAAAAATACATAAATATTCTTGTCTCTAAATCAGAGTTCCATCCAGAAATTTCAAGTGAAAAAATAAATCCAACATCAAAGATCTAGCAGAGATCCCATATAAGTGCCCAGAGAAAACAGCAGAGGGAGAAATCCTTCACCAACCACCCCAAACACACTGTCCCTTGACGGAAAGTTTTGACCCCCCCCCCCAAGAGAGAGATCAAAAAGCGCTGTATGTTTCCTGGAACCACCCAATAGACTGAATACACTTCATAGGGCTTCTTCCTTCAGAATGGACCTCCAAGACGGATACATCTAAAACCGAAATTACCTTTATATAGAGGATACTGGGTAAGGTGAGGTGTCCTCCAGTAGCGAGAGAGCCGATATTTTGACCCCCTCCCTAGCGATCCATCTGCCAAAAGCAACAGGGAGCAGATCAGCATTACGTACGGTCCTCAGCCTAACTCTGGTCGGCTCCTGCCTAACATCTGTATTGTAGTTGATTTTTCTATTTTTATGTAACAGTGTCACAATTACTTGAACAACTTAAATGGCTTTAATACAGCCATCACTATCCAGGTCTCAAAACCACGAGGCTTCTTCATCTCCACCATCTCTACTTGAGTCGAATCTCCATATGACTGGCCTGAAAGAGGCAGACATAGAAGAGAATGAAGAGGACTTGGCGTTGATGCTAGAGGAAGCTACGAACAATTTCTCACCATCAAGCTTATGCTTGCAAATGTTGATTAGCTCACTTCTGCTTGTACACAAAAGTCTTGGCATTGTCGCACATGAATCTCCTCCATCTCCGCATGCCCCTTTGGGTACAAATAGGAAAAAAAATGCCCCCTTCCTAAACAGAATAGGCAAATCATGATTGGGTCAACCCAGAATATTTTTTACCCCACCAAAAATAATTTAAATTTTATCCAGTGGGAAAGAAAGTTCATTAAGAGATGGTCTGTTCTGGTGATAGACTTTGCTAACTCAGTCTTAAACATTTCAATGTTCAAATTGAGAATGTTCCTTTTTTCAAAGATTCTGCTTATAGAAAGTTTGAGATGCTCTTAAAGGCTCTTTACTCCTGCAGGCCCAGCCCTACAACCATTCATCTCTGCGATGATGGCCTGGCAAAGTCTTCAGCTAACGTGACTAGGACAATGAACATCCAACATGATCCTGTCTTCCAGGACTGTACTTTGAATGAGCAACTACAGCCGTTGGCTTCTGCATTGCTTTTATTGTATTGATGTACTAGAACAGGTTATGACACATCTCCATAATGGCTTCAATTTCCATTCCCATGTGCAGAGGCTTATGGCTCAGTTGAAGCAGCCTGCAAAAGACAGCTCACATGTATGCTTTTTTTGAAAGGGAACATCTGTTTGGTGAGGCATTTGAGTGCTGATTCACACATGTGCGGTGCAGATTGAAGCTCAAGTTTCACAGCTAATTGATCAGGTCAGATTTACATCAGGTTCAGGACAGGTTTGGATCAGGTTCAGGACAGGTTTGGATCAGGTTCAGGTCAGGATTTTATCCGGTTCCCAACTGATGACATGTGCAGATTAGAAACGGTTCCCATAGAAGTCAATGGCCTGTAATCCACACCTGAGCCAGACCGCACTGCTCAGAAATCAGACATGACTTTTTTTCAATCCACACTGCCTGTGCAGCATATATATGTGAACAAGCACCATAGGAAGCAATGTTATTTCACATGTCATGCAGATTGGTTGCGGTTCAAATCGCATCCATCCGCATATATGTAAATCAGCACTGACAAATTCAAGATTTCACAGGAGGAAAGGTGCTTTTTCCAAAGAGGAAAATTTCAAAGGCTTCCTCCTCTGAAGCCTATACCTCCTCTAAACACAGAGCACTTCAACATTCTACCCAGGCTTCTACTTCCAAGCTCAAGTTCAGCCCTTTGTTTCGGTGTAACACTTGGCATACAAAGCCAAGTTTTCCTCAAAGCCCTTTTCCCAATGAAGGGGCTCTATCACTTCTAGGAGTGGAGGAACGTCTGTTACAGTTTGCCAATCTCTGGGTCACAGACGTGTCAAATCTGTGGGTTCAAATGATGGTTTCAGAAGGGTACAAAATAAAGTTCAGAAGTCTACTCCCTCACTGCTTTCTTCTTTCAAATCACCATCTAAAGTCCGCCCAGGTACAGTCATATTTGTAAAATGCCCAGAACCATCTCTTGTCTCAGGGAGTAGTTGTTCCAGTACCTCTAGAGGACCGGTTCAAAGGCTTCTACTCAATCTTCACAGTATTGCAACCCATGCTCCTGTCCAGCCAGGCCAGGTACCCTCTAGCCTGTTGGATTTCCAACCCAACCCTTGCAATAGGAAAGTCCTTCCTGCCATATCACTGCAAAGTGAAAACGACAGATGCCCAATCTTTAAAGCGGCGTTCCACTCAAAAGTGGAAGTTCCCGCTGGTTTGCCTCTTCCCTCCCTCCACTGTCATATTTGGCACTTTTTGGGGGTGAGGGGGGAGCAGATACCTGGTTTTGACATGTACCCTCTCCCACTTCTTGCTCAGTTCGCCATGGTGAAGTGAGCCGGAAGTTCGGCCCCCCCCCTCCTTCCTCCCACAGTCTTCTGGGACTAGTGAAGCGACTGCTGGACCAATCAGGATGAGCAGCACGACTAGCATATGCGCAGTGGGCACCTGGCTGTGAAGACGCAAGCTGTCAAAGCTGAGTGCCCACAGTTGAGATGCCGGCGCTGGGGAGAGAAGTGGGAGGGAAGGGACAGCAGGGGTGAGGACATCACTGGACCCCAAGACAGGTGAGTGTTAAAAGTCAGCAGTTTTTGTAGTTGTTGACTTTTAATAAACACAAAAATTACTGTAACTCTGCTTTAAGGTTGGTTTAGGAGTGTTCCAATCCCTCATGGTTCAAGGAACATAGTCACCAGGCTCCCCATTAACATCTTGGAGCTCAAACGTTAAAAATTACTCTTCACCATCGGAACCCCCTTGTTCAGGGACACCCGGGCAGGGTTCAGTCAGACAATGCCATGTCTGTGGCCTACTTCAATCACCAAAGGGGTACCAGGAGTCATGCAATCTTGAAGGAAGCAGCCGGATCATCTCATGGATGGAAAGACATTGTCCAGCAGTCTCTACTGTCCACATCCCAGGGGTGGACAGTTGGAAGGCAGGATTATCCTAGCTGTTATCACCGGGACCAAGGGGATTGGGTCCTTTACGCCAACATCTTCAGCATGATATGTTAGAGATGTGGGGTACTCTGGGCATGGTGCAGTGATTTTGCATAGAGCAGCCCATATCCTCTTCTTTTCAGGTCCCTACTGGCACTCCTGGCTCCTCCTTCTCAAGCAGTGCCACTCGCTTGATCCTCTCATAAAAAAAGGTACCACTGATCATTTAGACTTACAATGTATATCCAAGATCTACAGCTGGTTAATCTGCTGCTTGGAGTATCATGTTTTGATCTTTCTTTCCCACCATTCAGCATTGAGGAAGCATCTCCCTATTGGCGCTTCCACTTACAAATAGGAACATGGAACTGCTGGCTGCCTACAGTGACTTCGGTCACCTCTGGCCATCCAACACTCACCTGCTACTAACTGACTTTTGTTAGTACCTGAGCCTTGCCTCCTACCGGTAGCCTACATGTTGCCTTACTGTCATGAGGTTGTAGCATGTCTGATTCTTGACATGGGGGTGCAGAGAGGAGGACAGTCCCCACTGTTCTTGGAGCCCCCTAGCTCACATTCTACTAATGGTGACAGGGCTGCTTGTAGTGCGCCTACTTATGATACTGATGTCTGCAGCCTGAAATCGGGTTATCCTCTGCTCTTAGAGTCTGTACCATCCTCCTGAGTCCCCTGGATGCAAGATTTTAGGGCCCAAACCACTTTGTTGTTTGCTGACTGATTGCATAGGCCACAAGCTTGCTTCTGCATCCCTCTTTTACAGATTTGTTATCTGATTTGCTCTTGTGCTCTGCCATGGCCTCCTTAGCACTGTTCCTCCAAACGGAGGTATTGGTCATATGGTATACTCTATATTAGGGGTTTGGGGCAGCTGCTGATTGACTTTAGTATTGTATTTCCAGTTGTAGATTTTGTAGGAAGCCTAGTGTACAGTCCACACTTACTGGTTTTTTATTGATGTTTATGTCTAGAAAAGGTGTGCACCGACAACCCAAGTGCTGCCAGGCAGAAGTGCTAACCACTGTGCTGTTAATGTATTTTCAGTTCTGAAGAGAAGGAATTTGCAAAGGACTTGGTGGAGTTGGAGATTTATTTTTAAATCTATATTTTTATGAGGCCTTTCCTTTAAAATCCTCAGTGGCATCTTCACCTTCCTCTGTGATATGCACCTTACATGGACAGTATTGCATGTCATTGAGAAGTTTTTGGGCAGCAGGCAAAGATTCAAGTGATTATTTAACATTTCTTATATTTTAACTTATTTTGGCAGGAATGGTGGACCCATTTATGGCTGAATGAAGGCTTTGCTTCCTGGATTGAATACCTCTGTGTGGACCACTGCTTCCCAGAATATGACATATGGACACAGTTTGTCTCTGCGGATTATACTCGTGCTCAAGAACTGGATGCACTGGATAACAGCCATCCGATAGAGGTATAATTTCTCATTACCTTTTAATTTTTTTTTTTTTTTTTTACTGTTCTTGGAAACAGCAGACCACATCTATAGAAGTGTCTGAAAGAGGAACTCCGTGCCCTTTTTGTTTTGTCAAGCCAGAACATTTAAAAAACGGATCAAGATAGTAATCAACTTGTAAAAAGTTGATATCTTCAAAACCTTTATTGGAACACAGTTGTTAATTGGGGTATTAGTTCATCCGTGATAAAAAAAAGTCAGAAGCGGAAAGCTACTTTTGGATTTGTCCCTGTTGTATTTCCTTGGGTCCCAGCCATTTCACAGAATGCCACAAGCATAGACTGCTAAAAACCCAGTCTGATGGTGTACTCAGCTAGGGTATAATTGCTGTAAATACTTTATAATACAGAGTTCTTAAATCATTTGTGTAAAACGACCCTTTGGTTACAAAGTGTATTTTTCTATACTCAAAGTGAACCTGAAGGTAAAGAGCTTGCCTAAAAAGCCTGGGGTACCTCATATCAAGTGGGGAAAAACCTTGCGTGAAAACGGCTGTCTGATGTACAGGCACCTGGAATTTTTTGCTCTGCATCAATGAGTTTTTGTTTGATTACTTAAGGACTACCCTCCCACAATATACCGCAGATGAATGGCCCATGCAGGCAAAGCAACGTACTGCTACATCATTGCCTGCTTTCGTGTTTACGGTGCAAAGCAGGGATAAGAAACAAAGAGATCTTTTAGTAAAAGCAGCACATAATACACGCATTACACATTGATAGGCACACATTTAACCCCTTTATTGCCCTAGATGATAACCTCTTCCCAGCCAGGGTCATTAGTACAGTGAGAGTCCGTTAGTGTCAGATTGCCCTCCGCACTATTGCAGTCCCATTATAAGTCGGTAATCACCATCATTAGTAGTCTAAAAAAAAAATTCAATAAATATACCAGTGTTTGTAGATACTATAACTTTCACGCAAACCAATCAATGTACCTTTTTTTTTTTTTTTTTTTTTTTTTTATTTCTTTACCATAGACAAGTAGCAGAATACATTTTTGTCCAAAATGTATGAATACATGTCTTTAAATTTTTTATTGAATAGGTTTTAAAGTAAAAAATAAGTTTTTTTTGTTTTTTTTTTTTTTTTTTTTTCTTCAGTTTTTTTTTTCCAGTTTTTTTTGTTTATATCGCAAAAAAATAAAAAAAACCAGCGGTGATCAAATACTACCAAAAGAAAGCTCTACTTGTGTGAAATAGTAGAAATTTTGTCTGCATGGCTGCGCAATTACTAGTTAAAATAGCGCAGTGCTTAATCAGGAAAAATTGGCCTGGTCATGAAAACCATCCAGAGCTCAAGTGGTTAAATCTGCATTCCCCCACTCCAGACCTTCCCAGCTTGGGACCAAATACCAATAAATATTCTACTGTCAATAATACTTTAAAGATTATTTGACTGGACCAGACCTACGGCTTATTTAATTTGTGTACCTGTGGGGATATTCTGCAAAGCGTTTCTTCCTTTTGTAGGTCCTCTGCAGCACTCCAGCTTTTGTAAGAAGATGTAGAACTCTCTATGGTCTTGCAGAAATACCAGAAACCCAACATTTGTTGGGTGTCCAAATCTTGGACTGACCAAAGTCTTGGATCAAAGTGTATCATTAACCTTGGGTGCAAATTAAATGTCATTTACAACTCTTCATGGGCTTGAAAGCACTTTTTTCTCGGTTCTTCTTTCCATTTTATGACTGCACAGTACATATGACTCTAAATCCAGTTACAAGACTATTGGACACAAGGTAAAAACTAAAAATGGGCTAGTTCCTTCCAGTGGCTGGCCCCCTCTTCCTGCTCTATCAGTTTAGGGTAGTGTCCTAAGGAGGTAGGATGACTCTGAATCTTTTTCTACATTTTTGTTTCATGCCAAATGTTGATATTCTGGATTGTCTCTGCAGTCAACCAGTAAACCCTGTCATCCTGGATACCAGAAAATTAGACCTTTCACTGTGATAGAATGCACATGACTGCCTTTGCAGTGGTCTACCTGGATAGTGTTTGCATTGCTGAGACTATGGCACCCTGTGTCATGTCCGGTTTGATCCTGCAGATTCACCATATCAGATCTGTCTAGGTTCCATAGTCACTAAACCCAGTTCCCTGGCTGATTCTGAAGACATTAGCAGTTCAGTGGGTGGCTTTGCTCTGCTTTTACTATACCTATCATTGTTCTTACTTTTGGCAACCTCATTTTTATGTGCTGCTATGGCCATGTACAGACTGTTCTTGACCATTTTTAGTGCCTGCTGCTGACATTTTGCTTAGGACGTTTGGCCCTACTGCAGGATCTGTCTTTTCTGAGAAATTCCTGGGTCCTCAATTTTAGGAAATAGGCAGGTGCAGAATCCAGCAATCTCAGGCCTATTATTGCTTATGCTGTCTGCTACATGTGTGGTTATTCTGAGCTGGAGTAGCCCGCAGTGGATAAATGCCTCGGCACCCCTGCAAAGACCTATTTGACAGTAGCCCACTTCAGAGAGATGTAGCATTTTGCGATAGCATTTGTTCTCCTAAACGGCACCACCTGCTGTTTGTCTTATGTGACTTTTGCTAAGGCATGGTTCACTTATGTGATTTTTAGTGGTTTTTGCCTTTTTGCAGAAACTCACTACAGTCCATTTAACATGGTTTCCTATGGGACACGTTCATATCTATGTGTTTTCAACAGCTGCATTTTTGGAAAGGGTTAGGGACTTTTTTTTTTCCTGCAGCAGATTTCAACACACATAGGTGTAAACCAGGCCTAATAATGGCAAGATGTCTGAAAGTGGACGGATCACCTTGCTTTAACTGGCAACTCCCCTAAGCGGACTGAGTTTTGCTTGCACTATTTGTGACATTTAACTGGAACTAAAACCTCTCTTCTCTTTTCCAGCCAAGGAACCTGACATCTTTGCTTCTGTAAGATCTGCAGTTGCCAGGGTGCTACTTATGAGATCAGTTAGGACACAAGCCATTTGATGGCTTGACAATTCAGTTGAGAGCACACACAACTGCAACAGTATTATTTACCGGCATGTCTTGACTATAACTGCTTTGGGAAACCGTTAAATCAAAGGGTTTAATTAAGCTTTACCTTTGATAGTGTCAGGGGAACTCATTCACTCTACAGATCCTCTTCAAAGCTCCCTCCACTTTGACCAAATCTGAACCCTCCTTGGAGTCTTTCGATGTGTCTGCAGCTAGTTGAGACATTTCCCTCTGTATTGAAGGGTTTCCCTCTTTCTACTTACTTCTGTCTCCCAGTCCAGACAGCAAGGTCACAGAAAGCACTTAAAGCGGAGTTCCAGCTGAAAAAAAAAAAAAAAAGTCAGCAGTTACAAAAACTGTAGCTGCTGACTTTTAAAATACAGCCACTTACCTGTCCCTCGGTCCAGCGGTGTCCTCACCAACGCTGATTTCACCGGCTGTCTTCTCTCCCTGGCGCCGGCATCTTTATTGTGGGCACCCGGCTGTGACAGCTTGCGGCTTCACAGCCGGGTGGCCACTGTGCACGCGCGAGAAGTGATGCGCTTTGTGAATGGCCCTGTAGTCTTCTGGGACCTGTCACGTATCCCAGAAGACTATGGGGAGGGAGGACAACTTCCGCTTACGATAGCCTAGGCAATCGCAATGGAAGTGGGAGCGGGTACCTGTCAGATTCGGGTACCTGCTCCCCAAAGGTGCCAATCCTTAATGGGGAGTAGGGGGACAAAGGCTTAAAGTGGAACTCCGCTTTAATATTCCCCCCACCTTCACTTTTCTTTTGTTCCACAATTTTGTCAGGGGCATGGAGTGAGTAATGTTACCTGCATTCTTAAGTTCAAACTATTTGTCGTGGAAATTCAGACACTTAACTTGTCCTGGCAAACCTTATGCGCCTGTTTGTTACTGTCATAGTGAAAAGGCAATCGCAATCTAAGTAACAAATAATCTTGCATTAGATACAATAACACCTCAGTTTGGACACCGTACCATAAACACAAGCATGAAGGCCTCATTTACATGGCGTGTATTATACTCTGTCCATGCAGGGCCATGTTTACCCACATAGGGATACACAGGTATTTGTGCACCCCTATGCAGGCAGTCCTATTGATATCAGTTGGGACACAGCGGCTGCACAGACATAACCGCTGCTCAGTGTAGGTGGATTTCTTCTGAACTAGAGGAAGACAGAAGCACAAAGAGCATATAGCTGGTGCAATATGTTGATGGTTTAAAAACAGATTTGTTTGATTGTACATTTAGTTGCCCGGTCATACCGGTGCGGTTTGCAAATTGAAATCGCACCTGATGAATGTGAATGCCCGTGTCTTAACGTGCAATTTGCATGATTTCTAAAGTAGTCCTTGCACTGCATTTTCTGCAGTTTACTGCGATTTTCACATACATAGAATTTAATGCAAATAGCAAGAAATCATTGAAAATCTTCACAAGTCGCAATAAAGTCTTCAGAAATCGCACACAAGACGAGCGATTTTCAATCGCAGCGGTGTGACTGGTGACTTAAGCCATACTTGCAGGAGCAGTACTACTTTGACAGTTGCAGGATTGGACAAATAGTATTTCTTAATATTTCGTTTCTAATATACCGTATTTTTCACCGTATAAGACGCACTTTTTCTTCCCCAAAACTGGGGGGGAAATGTCAGTGCGTCTTATGGAGCGGCGGCCGGTCCGGTATTTCCACCGCGGCTGTGTCAGAATACCGGGCCGGCCGCTCAGCTCTGCAGCGGGACCTTACCTGTTCCTCTATCCAGCGGCGTGCTGTCTTCCCGGCTTCTGTAGTGTGTGGGCATGACAGCCGGGTGCCAAGTGCGCATGCGCAAGAAGCGGTGCTTTTTGTGAATGGTAAGGCGGTACCTGGGACACATGACAGATCCCAGAAGCCGCTGGACCAATCACAAAGCGCAAGTGCTTCTCGCTCATGCGCACTGGGCACCCGGCTGTCATGCCGAGCTCCATTACAGAAGCCGGG